GATCAAAGGCAAAGATGAAGAGCAGCAACGACAAGGGGCAGCCTTGATTTGTGCCATTCTGAATAGTAAAGGCTTTCATTAATGCTCCATTCACAATGACCTCAACTGTCGGTTCTCCGTAGAAAGCCCCAATAAATCCTCTCAAATAGGGTCCATAGTCCCATTTTGGCCAGTGCTTGGAGTAAAATATCCCAGCAGACAGTGTCTAAGGTCTTCTCCGCATCTGTAGACAGTAGGACAAAGCATTTGGCTCCTCTGCGCCACCTGTGCATTAATGTCAATGCTAAATGGTGTTGTCACGTGCCTCCTGATTCGGTACTAACCCTACCTGATCCAAATGAATGAGGGACGAAATAAACGGTCACAGTTAAGCAGAGAGATCGCTTTGTAGTTCCCGCAATGCTCAGCGTCCTTGTCCTCCGTAATAATTGTGATGTGTGCAGCCAACATGGGTTGGTAACAGGTGTCACTCCCTTAATTTTTATTATGTGTTCTGACAAACTGAGGGTAAAGTTTATCAGCAAAACCTTTGTAGGTGAGGCAAGCCACCTAGGCCCGGATATTTGCCTGACTTCATTTGCTTGACCACCACTGCTAGTTTCTCTTGAGATAAAGGACTTCTCTTGAGTAAGTCCACATTCTCTGTGGACAGTCTGCTTAACATTGGAGCTTAAATCATTTTAGATTTTACTGGTGAGGCACTGTTGCGCCTCTCTCTGAGGATGCGAAAGGGAGTATAGTTTAGAGCAGCTTTCCCAAATGGGCTTCCGCGGGAACACAAATGGGGTTCCGCCATAATTTCACCAAACAAAATGGCCGCCGCAATTTGATCGCTTAACGGGGGCCCGGTCGGGTGCCGTGGCCCTTTATAAGCACGACTGGGCCCCTTTAGTATAGGCAAGTTGGGAGGAAGTGACAGCACTTCCTCCCTTCCTCCCAGCTTCACAGAGTTGCTGACGCGCAGTAGGGAGGGAGGAGGAGTCTGAAGACGGCAGCCCAGAGAGGGTGCAGCATGCATGGCAGAAGAGAGGCTGGAGTGAACATGCAGCAGCCCACTTCCATCAGCCTCAGCCAACATCACCAGGACCACAAGGTAAGTGGCTCAGATGTATGTCAGATTGTGTGTGTATGCCAGTGTGAATCAGTGTGTTTTCATGTGCCAATGTGTAAATGTGTGTGTCATTGTGTATATGAGAGTGTGTGTATCTGTGTGTCAAGGTGTTTGTGTCAATGTGTGTTTCTGAGTGTGTATGTGCCAGTATCTGTATCTGAGTGTGTGTAACTGTATGTTAAGGTGTGTGTGTTTATATGTTTGTATGTGCCTTTGTGTGCATCTGTGGCTCAAGGTTTGTGTATGTGACAGTGTGTGTGTATCTTTGTGTTAAAGTGTGTATACCTGAGTGTGTGTATATGTCAGCATGTCTGTATGTTAATTTGTTTGTGTATGTATGTATTTGGCAGTATATGTGCATACATCCCAGCAATCAAACACCAACACAACATGCAAACACACTGCTGCAAACACAAGCATTACATACAAAAACCCCCTGCAAACACAAGCATTACATACAAAAACAGTTTTTTATACACACAAATACAAACACAGCCCTGCACACAAATGCAAACATTACATACAAACACACCCCTGTATCAAAACGATTACGTTATATACAAACACCAACTGTACGCACAAAAGCACACCTGCTCCTAAGTACTACCATCTGTTCACTATATTTCATATGGCGCCAAACCAATTTTGGGGTTCCACGTTGTTAGCGCATTATGTCAATGGGATCCACGGGAAAAATTAATTGGGAACCCCTGGTTTAGAGTAATACCTGCATACAGCAGATTGGATCTCAACTAAATCCTATTATCCTTACCGTTCATTTTCTCTTATGAAGCATTCATGCTAAAAACAGATTACAGATTTTGTTACCATGTAGGAAGGTAATGGCCTTATGTTGTAAGAATGCACGATGGTGTTTAAGAGAGGCAGGTTCCCTCCTAATTTGGAAACGATGGTCTTGATGGGAGGATTGTGGATTGGTTTAATTTTTCAGTTCCTAATGATGGATATTGGCTAGTATGGATGAGATTCTGGCTATTTGCTTTTTTCAGCTCTGAGCTTTTTTTTAAATAAAGAATATGAAGGGCTTGTTACTCCGTCTGGAGAGTATGCAGCTCTGAGGTAATCAAAGACCACGTTCTGTCTTAGTTTGGAGGTTTTGTAGGGCTGAGACCCAGTCCGGGGACTGCGCAGGGGTGATTAGGATTTGGCATAATGAAAGGTAAGCACTTTGTTAGTGTCAGGGGCCTTTTGGGAGCTGGATATACGATGTGATTTCCCCATTTCACTGCTGTAGCTCACTGTTAAGTAAGATATGCCTTATAGCATCAGTGCCATGTTCTTTGGCCACCAAGCCACACCCTTCTTAAACTCTTTCTGGCGAATTTTGCCACAATTTATTATATTTTTTACATTGTATCATCTGATGCTTCTATTTTTCTTTTTGTATAAATATTTTTTGCCAAGGCAACAGATTTATTGTTCTTTTCTATTCTAACAGAAATGCATTGTTTTTTTTTTTTTTTTTTTTTTTTTTGCACCACTCAATTTGCTAGTCTGTTGAAATGAAAATGTTTGTGAAAACTGACAGAATATATTATCAAGAAAACCGTACATTTTTATATTACTTTTAGAACACTTAAATAAATATCCCCTGTTTTTTCATAAACAAATTTCTGTTTATAGAGCATTGAAATCTCATCAAAGTAAATAGATGAGATTTCATTGGAATGTTAATGGTGTATCAGTTAGCCATTTAGATACAAGCAATGTGTATTGTAAATAAAAGTTGAAAACATTTAAATCTGACATATATAATGTTCAAAAAATAATATTGCAGCCACTTGAAGTATTACTTGGTCCCAGAAGCCTGTGATTGATTACTAGAAGCTCCCTTTTAAACCTGAACATTGATCCTGTATTTGGTATTAATGCATTATGAGCAGAGGTGCTGAATGTAGCTAACAGCCGGCTGTGTGCAACATTCATCTGAGCCCCAGACTGCACATGTGCACAGGTATTGTTGCAGTGTAAGCATGCAGAAGCCAAACACAGAAATATTGGACACAGGTCTTCAGGAAGTAACAGGCCTTTATTCACATTACCGATCGGGTCTCAGATGAACTCCTGTTCCAACATTCTGAGAGACCAACACATAGTGTACATTCCTTATATAGCACTATAACTCCTCCCATTAATAGCTACACCCACATACACCTTTAACCAATCAATGAGCAGAATATAGACTTGTACATCTAGTCAAACCACATGGCTCATCCAAGACAAAGGAAATAAGTGCAATTTCAGTTCCTGCATTCCTGCACATGCTCAGTACACTGATGACAGTATCCTAGCTACATGTAGCTAACCAACTGACACAACATACACATATGCCACATGGAGATTTTGGCCTACTAAATTTTAACCATGCTGGAATCCCATCACATTCCCCCCTTTTGATGCCTCTGATATAACATTATTCCAGATGCATCACCAATCACAGTTTTACCTACATCTCTCAAGTAGCCATTGAACCAGAGTAGACCTTGTAAGCATCTTAAAAACTCCTTCAACATTCTTCATCCTGAATATATTCTCTTTGGGCTAGGGGATCATATCTTCCAGACAGCCACTACATGAGCCGCTGTCTTTCTCTCTATAGTACTCTCTATAATGCTACGTAGGGACCTTACCACTAGTGGAATTAGACAGGGCAGGAGGAGGCACAAAAAAAATAATAAATTCTACTCCTCCTACTAATGTCTTAATTCCTCCAAGCTGCTCATACCAACTTCCAAACCAACTACTTAGGTTATACCCATTCCAGACCTGAGTAGGTACATGCTCAAATTTAACCATGTGGCTTGTAAGTTCAGCCACTGCCTGCCCTTCATCATCTATGTGCAGACAACAGTTACTTAGATTAAACTTTCCGCATACACCTCCTTCTACTGCTAGTAAGTAATCAAGGGCTAGCCTATTCTGGTATATGGCTGATCACATCTTGGTATTTTGCTTAGCTAGAAGATTAAGCACTTGAGCTGTGTCATTAGTAATAATCTCAACTACCGCCCGTAGTCTAATAATGCGGTTGAGCATAGATAATCGGAGTTCTATATCCATAAGTGCCATCTTCTGCCCAAGTAGCAGGTCCATAATAATTAATAATACGTTGAGGGGGCCACTCATTATCTTCCCAGCTACCTATATTCAAGGATGCTCTCTCCCTTTTATGATTTACATCGTAAACCTTAACTCCCAAGGTCTCTCCTGTTTCGATTGGCAACAAGAAGAAGGATGGCTTTGGCATACCTAATACACATGCCCCTTCCCAATCTTGTGGTAACTCCGAATAAGTTTTCTTACCACAGATCCAGTATAAATTTGCTGGGGCTTTCCAACTAGATGTAGCCGATAAGTCAAACCATACCTCCTTTAAATGAGTGTAATTGGCAAACGGATTAGTAGGTTCCGAGACATTTGAAGCTGACCACCAAGTAGTATTTTAGTATTAACATTATAGGCTTTTTGTCCCAAGCACGTTAGCTCACCTACAGACGTGTTATACATTGTCCCTTTCCTGGCTATACAAACATGACCTATAATGGAGGTTTTTAACCACCATTCCAATTTACTTCTAGTACTTACTTGATGATCAGACTGGAAAGGTATCTGTTGTTCATATGTCTCAGAGCCAGGGTACCATATTTCCTTTGCCTCCCATGGCCACTGGTCTCCCATATTAGTACCTCCACACACATAGCAATTAGTTACATTAAGACTACCTGCAATACCCTCAGCCAAATCAATAAATAGGTTGTTAACATTATGGGGAATTTTATCCTCAATACTCATCTCCTCATAGAAGGAATGAGAAACCTGATGAGTTTGAGTTGCCACTGTCTCAGTTTCAAGACCTACATATATTATTGTTCCTGAATCTACTCCTGTGCCATATATTTGAAACCCAAACAGACCTCCAAACCTGTCAATAAAGTACTGCAGATTGGAAATGGTCATGTGAACGGGGTTACACACATAGTTTTACAGTATGGTGTGGTAGGCAACCTTTGGATAATCATATCTTGATCCACTGTTTTTCCCAGGTTGCCCAACCTACACATGACCAATAGGGGCAGAAGTTAGTCTCTATTTGGGCAATCAGGATCAGTAGATCTTATACTGGGACATAAGTATTTATCATTAAACCCATAAGTTCGTTCCCATTTAAGATTACCACATACATTCCAAAGTCTTCCACTACCCGAAATCGCCTTACATGCATCAAATAGTAGAATACCCGCGGAATGTATGGTGCTTATCACAGTCCTATTTATTAATGTCCCCTGGGAGTTACTATTCCGAATTACCAACCAAATTGTACGGGGTTGGAAATGGGGATCAAAACATTTAGACTCTCCTGATATTGGCTTGCACACACTATAATCAATATCCAAATATCTACATTTAGATACAGATCCCTTACATTCATACTGTGAGTGCCAGATGAGAGTTTGGGATATTTGGTTACCTGTTTTAGTAGTCTTAATGCAACTATCGCAATTCGGTATGTCTGTACTCCTACCTTCCTGAAAAATCATAAAAATACTAAGACACAATAAAACACATTATTCCTGAAATCCTCATTTTTCTTCGACCGTGCGATGGCCTCTCAGCTTCCCGATTGTGAGGGCTGCAAGGATGTTGTTCTTCTGATCCTCACTTTCCTTCACAGAGATCCCTTCAAGATACTCTGGCTATGACACGTAGGCAGGTGGTCAGGCTTTATTATGGCCGTCAAAACACCTACTTGATGATCTTTGTAGACTTTTAACTAGAATGTCTCGATATCCCCTCGTCACTCCGACTGAGTTGCACGCTTCAACCGGGTCCTGCAAGGATTCTCAGGATCTGGAGTAGCTTGCCAAGAGTCTGCTGCTGGTTTAACCTTAGAATGATGAATCCAAGGAGTCACTTCCGCCACCTTTACAGCTGTTGGGGTAGATAAAAGAACAACATACAAAGGCTAACAGGATACACCCCGAGCTTTAACTCAATATGTATTGGTGGGATATTACGAGCAAGTCCTGGAGGATTATTTTCTTCCCATACTCCTGGAATGTCAAATAAGGATTCATCACTCTTAGGGTTAACACTTGTCACTATGGAATAGAAGCGTCATTCTTCTTCCCTTGGCACCGATATCACCATTATGCCTGGTAATCCCTTAAACTTCAGAGATGTTAATCCATTAGGTAAAAGGTTATCTGAGCTTAAAGCTTCGATAATAGATCTCGTCCTAAAAGTTGAATCGGACACTCTGGCATATATAGGAACTAATGCTTCACCACATGGCCTCCCAGAATACAAGTGCGACTCTTAAGAACCGGTCTAGCTGCACTTCTCCCAGTAGCTCCTATCACAGTTATAGTCTTCCCCGAAGGCGGAGCCACCATCTTAGTCACCACAGAATGTTCAGCACCTGTGTCGATCATGAAAGAACTTCTCTTTCCCCCTATTGCTACATCGACCATAGGCTCCGCTCGACCAAGTGGGATGGAGCCCAGTCGGTATCAATAGTCTTCCATGATAGTGTCAGCCAGACCCACAAAATCTCTATCCTCTCTTTCTCTAGGTCTCTGCGTGGGTGGATAGTATCTGTCTCCTTGAACACTTCCTCTACTATTCCCATCATTCCCTCTAAAACTTCCTCTTACTCTATAACTACCACTATAACCTCCTCATACCCTTCTCTCTCCTTGTCTATCACCTTCATACTGCTCTCTCTGTGGACACTCACTCTTCCAATGTCCCTCCTTTCTACAATACGCACATTAATTCCTACTTAAAGTCCCTTGCTCAGCCTATTCTCGTCTCCTCTATTCACTTCCCTGTCTTTCTACACTTAAGATAGCTACCGCTAGCATATCTGCCTTTTTCCTCATTTTACGTTCTTCCTCCGTCTCCCTATTCATATATACTGTATTTGCAATCTCCATTAGCTGTATTATGGACATCCCTACAAATCCCTCTAATTTCTGTAATTTCCTTTTACTATCACCTTGGGCCTGGCTGACAAATGCTGAGTCTATCATTCGGAAGTTTTCAGGGGCCTCTGGATTAAAGGGAGTATACAACCTATTTGACTCAAGCAGTGTCTAATATGGGACTTCGGCAAGGCTGCCCAATAATAGGTTCCAGTCTAGGATTAGTAAGATAGGTGTAAGGGGGTGAGCTAATTTTATTAGTCGGCATTTGGTGGATGAAAAAAAACGTTTTTGTTTAAAGTGTTAAACCAAAAACCTACCAGTAGGTGTCACCAGAGGGTAATTGTATCAAAATAATCTTTATGGGTCTAATAAGAAAACTCAACTTTTAATATATTTATACATAAAATAAAACCTTATAGCAATAAATATATTAAAATAGGGTAAGCAATCCTACATCTATCTGTTATAAACAATGTATTATCAATGTAACTCCCGAAGATGGCCAGTAGGTGGCTTAGAGTGCCTCCCTAAAGTCAAATGAAACAAATAGACTTTAATTAATTATGTCCTATTTTATTATTACTTATTTTAATCAATGTCCACCCTGCTAGCTAGGCTTGATTAAATCTTTAGTTCTAAGGTAAATTAAACATTTCAGTTTGTAGTTTAGTAAAAGGGGACATTTTGGACAAAGCTGGGAGGGGCCCATCCAGTAACTAAAAAAACCAATATACCATCTGATACCATTGATCATTGATTAGGGGGAGGGGTAGTACAGAAATACAAGAGTTTGAAACACAGGAACAGATAGGTATGTGGGTAGGCGGGGACAGTAGAGCAGGGGGAGTGCAAATACTGACTATATACCAGCCAGAAATGGGCGTGGCTAATCTGGCTCTGGAGGATGTTTGGGGGGTTGGTAATCAGATGCCAGGGGGGGAGGGGATGTCCAAAGCAGTTGTAATTAAGTCCTTAGTTCTGACCACCATATGGCTACATTGTTTCCCATATGACACAGTTTAATTCACCAAGGCAATTTTTCAACAATCAGTTTCCAACAGTCAATATATAGAAACTGATCATAGAATTCCAGCCTACTAGTTACAGCCACATGTACACCCTGCACTAAATTTAAGTGAAGACTGCTACATGGAGGCCATGCGGCCACCAGGACAAGCTACTCCCTACTTTTTTTTTTTTTTTTTTTTTAAACATACAAGACAAAGCCTAGTGAATCAGAAGATTATTTCAACAGAGCATCTGATTCAAAAAGCTGTACAAATATACACACAGTTTCAACAGTCACACCAATCTCCTTATCACCAGCAACACATTGCGCAGTCACTAGGCCCAAACACACACACAGGATCCTCACATGCTCAACAATATCACGACGTCGCACACACGAAATTAAATCAAAAACCCACCAAAGACTATACACTCATCAATGTAACTATTATTCAAACCATACAACTATCCACGCTATTAATCCATATAAACTAACCGATCACATAACATTTCAACAGATTTCATCTCTACAATTATCTGTACTATAAATCAACTCTTGACTAACCAACTATATCACATTCTAGTAACCTCATCTTTACAGTCAGTGGTTATGGTACAGTTAGTAAGTGGTTATAATACAGTTTTAAAGTCACAGATCAGTTAGTAACAGTTATGGTATTATACATATAACATAAAACAGCAATTGTTAGTAATTTTTACACAATGTCAGTGGTTATGGTACATGTCAGTAGTTATGGTACCGTGCGCTATTTTACAGTTATACACACAATTTACACTCCCACTAGACAGCAGAGCTCTAACTTTCTAGTAGGACATACAAGTTAACCAATTCACCAACTACAATATATTTAACAACATTTACAATAATCCCAACTATTCTAACTGGCCAGCACCTCGAGAGCTTTCGATCTATTTATACACCAGAGATTCGATAAGTTCTTCGCTGCCCAGACACCACGTATAGCGAACTAGAGGGCAGAATTTACACAGTACCCAGCTAGTCTATTAAACTATCAATAAGCTAGTGGCTGGATTTACAACAGAGCACACTTAGTTAAGATAGGGTGAAATCTAGCAAACTATAATATACAACAGAGTATGCTAGTCTCCCGGTCCCCCCGACCTAGCGAACAAAATTTACACCCTAGATACGCTAGTCAAGACAGGACACCGGTGTCCGACATGAGCTATTTACACCACAACTCAGTCTGACCCAAACCACCTATATTAGACGGGCTGACTACAGAGCGTCTAATTTCCAGATAAGTGTTGCGCTTTCACTTCTTCCTTCTACTGAAGGGGCCAATACCAATAACCGGTTCCAAATATAAAACCCCTTGTGGGTCTACCGCTCTAACGGTATCAATCTCACCTGTTAATTACTGAACCTGGGTTCACTCATAGACGGAACAATCCGGGACTCACTGCGCAGAAGCCGATGATCTCCTGGACAAAAGGCCAGTGGCGCCGAGACGAAAGGAGGTCCACGCAGTAGAAGTCCAGGATTGTAGCGTAGAAGGTTTGGTAAAAGTTTACCGTCTCAAATCTCTGTGCCAGCTTCCGTGCGATGAGGTTCCCGGCCCAATTGCACCAGAAATGTTGCAGTGTAAGCATGCAGAAGCCAAACACAGAAATATTGGACACAGGTCTTCAGGAAGTAACAGGCCTTTATTCACATTACCGATCGGGTCTCAGATGAACTCCTGTTCCAAATGATCTGAGAGACATATACTTGTGGCTTGGGACTTTTGTTAACTGCATATCTCCTCCCATTAATAGCTACACCCACATACACCTTTAACCAATCAATGAGCAGAATATAGACTTGTACATCTAGTCAAACCACATGGCTCATCCAAGACAAAGGAAATAAGTGCAATTTCAGTTCCTGCATTCCTGCACATGCTCAGTACACTGATGACAGTATCCTAGCTACATGTAGCTAACCAACTGACACAACATACACATATGCCACATGGAGATTTTGGCCTACTAAATTTTAACCATGCTGGAATCCCATCACAATAGAGATGCACTGATTCAACGTATCTTTATGAAGAGATGTTGATTGGCGCAGCGCAACACTCTGCTGTGTATGTGCAATAGTCAACAAAGCCTTCCTATGGCAAAGCATTGAATTGGCTAAGATCATCAAGATCAGCAAATGTAAACACTGTAGGGGTTAGTAAGGACTGTAACAAGCTGGCCAATAATTCAATTTTCTGTTCACTGTTAAAATCCATTTCAACAACAAACACTCTGTTTAATAAATTTTCTTTTTCAATTGGTCTATTGCATGGCCTTCTCATAAGATATACAGTTTCCTAAAGCGAATTGCACGTTCATAAATCTGTATTTACTGATTGGTTATTTAAGGGCGGAAGCATTTCTGTATCATACTGTTGTTTGTTTTGGAGTTGGCATATGAGGTGTCATAGCAGGATCCCCAATACCAAGCACAAGCCTTTACGTGGAAATAAAATCTTCTGTCTATTAAAAGTTCACGCTTAAACCCATATTAAAAGGAACCAGATATGAAATCAAATATCCAAAACTGATCAATTCTACTATGTGTGTTGGTACCTTTAAAGCAGCAGAAGATTATTTAAAACGCCAGTAGCGAAGGCCGCTGTGACTGTCTATAACAGTAGATTAAAAGTGCGGCATATAAAACCCATTTTTTCCATTGTACAGAGTGTTGCAATCTGGCTTTCAGGGTACAGTGTGCAATTCATTTTGTTCCGAAGCTTCCGAATTGATGGGAAAACGAACACTGAACGTATTTGTAAGGAATCAAAGCAATTTGTTTTGGATCCTGTTTTTTTGATGAAGATAGCAAATTAGGGAGAAATCTACCAAACAGCTGAAAGATCAAATTTAAGAAAAGGGCTTTTCTTAATTTTGATCTCTCAGCAGTTTAGCAGATAATTCCCTGAAATTGTACGTTTGTGACTGCCGCTTTCAGTCATTTCCGGGAATAATAGGCATCCAAATAAAAAAAAAAAACTTTAAACATTTTCAGATGAAATTTGAATCGACCAAATTGATATTGTCTGAATTATGCAAAAAATTATAATTTTACATTTAAGAAACCAAACAATTTTTCCCCGCCCATGCACATCTAGTTTTCAGTATAATGAAATTCACTGTTCACAAGGGTTTTTCTTGCAAGATTTTGACATGTATAAATATAAAAAACATAATTCTGTTTGTTAGCAACTTGGGGCAGGATAATGTTTAATTACATTAACCAAAATAGACAAATGTTGGCAAAATCCATACTGCAAATTTTCATTTAACTTTAAAAAAGGGGCATCACACAAAAATAGTTTGCATTGATAGAATAATTATTAAAGGAATACTTTACTAATAATTTTGTAATGTATGTCATAGAGATATTGGGGAGAAAAACCACATACATTCCTGTAGATGCACAGTTTAGAGACAGGCAGACCCTTTTTTCTGTGTTATTGGGGTATTTTAGGAGTACTTATGGACTGTGGCAGTCAATCTTATCCCATAAAGAGACACTCCAAACACCATAACCACTATAGCACACTGCTGTGGTTATGGCGCTAGGAGTGCCTTCACACACCACTGTTGTAAGTAGTGAAAATGATTTAGAACAGTTTGATTTCTTACCATGGGGCTGCTCCCCATCTCCCTGCAGGCGGATGTCAGAGTTGAAAGTTCCTGTTAGGAACTTCCATTAGCTCTCCTGAGCAAAAATCTGCAGTACAGTACAGTGCAGAGCTGTAGTGGAGGCATGGAGCGGCGCACAGTGGGCCACTTGTAAGAAGTCACACTGTTCTAAATTGGTTTGACTACTTGGGGGGGGAGGGGAGCAGGTCACCGGAGCAATCCTGACAACATAACCAGTACAATGTGCTGTAGTGTTCCTTTAAACCCCAGTCCACAAGGGGTTAATGAGATAGAGATAAAGATAGTTCATATTTCAAGAGTAGTTCCATCTGAGTTGGGAAGAACTGCTCTGGGCCAGTGGCGGATTCAGAGACTGATCTTGGGAGGGGCACTTTTATATTATTTAAAAAAATAATCCATGCACAGTGTGTGTGTGGGGGCAGTGTATGTGTGTGTGGGAGCAGTGTGTGTATGGGGGGACGTGTGTGTGTGGGAGCAGTGTGTGTATGGGGGGACAGTATGTGTGTGTGTGGGGGCAGTGTGTGTATGGGGGCAGTGTATGTGGGGGCAATGTGTGTGTATGGGGGCAGTGTGTGTGGGAGCAGTGTGTGTATGGGGGACAGTGTATGTGTGTGTGGGAGCAGTATGTGTATGGGGGGACAGTGTATGTGTACCTTACCTTTACTGGGAGGAGGGGGGACATTTCTGGATCCCTGGTGGTTCCAGTGGTCTAGCCTGTAGCTCCAGGGCTAGAGTTTACTCTCGCGAGATTTGGAGCGTTGCCATGGTAACCGCGGCAACGCTCTGTGCTCGCGAGAGTAGGACCCGGAGGAGCTGCAGGCTGAGCTCCCGGGTCCTCTCTCCCTCCCCTGCCGGCTGCCAGCACGGTGCCTGCAGCCTGGGGAAGGAGATCTCTGATCTCCCCTCCGGTCCGCAGGCACATTGTAGGGCTGGTACTTGGACAATGCCAGCCCTGCATTAGCCGGCAGGGGAGAATCTTGGGGGGGGGGGCAATTGCCCCGTTGACCCCACCCCCGGATCCGCCAATGCTCTGGGCTCTGAACTCTATACTGAGCCTTTTGCCATAGTTCAGTTTTTTTTATAGGAAGTAATGAGAGCTCAGTCTAAGTTGTGTGTACAATGTACACATGCTACACTCACAAATTGCCCCCTCCCCTGCAAAATAAGTAAAATCTTTATGAAATACTCATTTAAGCTGTGTTGGAATTTCACTCAAATTCCAATCCAGTCAAGAGATTTACTGAGACAAAGTAGGGACTATTTTGTCTTAGTATTTTTCCTCCGCTTGACACTTCTTGACGCTGGATGGAGCTACCGCCGTCAAGCAGATTGAATGCCCCAGCTGTCACCAGTGAAGACTGCAGGGAATTGGCTCTGCATATGGAGGATCCTGCATTCTTGCAGCATCCTCCATAAACGTCAATGATGTTCTGTTACTCATGCGCAAGACAACAGCAGTGACATTGGTTCCTTGCATTGAAGTGCCTGGAACAGAAGAGGATTGGCCAGAAGATAATGGCGCCGCCCGCAAGTTAAACTCACCTTTTACTGCTCTCCCGGCCACCAGGTCCCCCAGCGCGATGTCACAGTCCCCAATTATGTCCTCAAACGGTGAGAGTTCCTCTTTAATATCTCAGTACTGTCTGCCTGATTCACAGTTCTAAACTACTTTCAGAGTTCAGTGTTGAGGGTTGTATGCTCTCTGTACCATCAACTTTGCATCCATGCAATGTTGTGATGGTGCTTAGAGTGGCCCTTTAAATTAAAAAGAAAAAAGTACGTGTACATTTTATTTTTCTGCTATATATATATATAAAAAAATTCTAAACTTTTACATTTTCAGCAACAAAAATACCTCAGCACACACTCAAAAATAACACAGTATCCTCTAGTACATGCCTGAAGGAATGAAATGGGGTCCTGTGGGTGCAGGAGTTTTTAAATTACACTAAGTGACAATATAAGAGCCTGACCGTAAAACCAGGACACAGTAATTCTCTAACCCAGTAATGCAGGGCACTTTTCATCCACCTCCGCTGCCTTATCAAAGCATCCTCCTGATGGAGAACGATAAGATCTGAGCAATTACAAAAGTTCTAATTTAATTTAGACACTTTGACACAGCTCCCTCTTTTTTTAATTTATTTTTTTACTTAAAACGAAATTTCTTTGTCATCCAAAAACTGTAAAATATCTCTCTCCGCTGCCAATCTAAGGACAAGAGATCTGTGTTGCAGATGGTATTTGGATTTGACTAGTTGTGGGGGGCAGGGGGAATTGTGTTATATTACTTATTCTACGTATGTTAATAAGAGCATTTACATGCCATTGCACCTAATTTCTCTTAGCAACAAGATTGCCAGATTGTAATTTCAATTAGGAACACGTATTAAAAATGCATCCTTTTGTTCTGTGTTGGGGAATATATTGTTTTTTTTTAGATTTCAGAATTCTAATGAAGATATTTTATACTAATTTTTAAAAATGTATTTCTTTATTTTATTTGATGGGGTGCTACATGAATATGTAAAAATATATTTATTAAATAAGTAAAAAATATATATTCAGTAGTGTACAACCGCAGTGTTGGGGGGAGCAGTCCCTCCCTAGTGACAAGCAGCGGGGTGCACAGAGCATTTCCCCTAACGACCATCGCAATGCCAAGTGGGTCCCGTGCTCTACCACTTACACTGTATGCAAGGTAACACCTCTATATAGAGATTTTTCACTAATTCCTAGACCAGGGGTGACCAAAAGGTAGATCCCCAGATGTTTTAAAACTATAGCTTCCATGTTGCTTTGTCATTCTAAATGCATGCAATGCACCATGGGAGTTGTAGTTCTAGAACATCTAGGAGTCTACCTTTTGGACACCCCTGTCCTACACTGTCTGATAGATTCTACAATAAGGTCCACAGTGGAGATGAGTCCTCTGACACTGTTCCTCCAGACTTATATGAGAACAAATGCAGAACAGCACCAGAATAAAAGTCTTGATTTATCTTATGTTATGGGTCCTGAAAGCTAAGATTCAATATGAGTAGACTCGCTTCAAGATTCCATGAGTTTGTTCAGTTTAGTCACCTTTCAATTCCGGGGGGATGCCGCTCACCATTTTAACTGTGGGAAATTTCACGGAACTTGGTTTTATACCGGACATGCTGCATTTATTTAACAATGAACCTGCAGACGTCTAAGGAGGAAATTACAGTCTTATATCCAGCAACCATCGGCATGTTAACTGGTGCCGGTGAGCCGTTAACGATGTTGAAGCGATCACGATCCCACCATTCTGATACTTTTCAAGATCATGTGAACTGTTGTTGGTTGAGTATACCTTACACTCAATCACAATCCTGCCATAAACGAGCTATCGACACATTAACAAGACCATCGAAAAAATATATCTAGAATTATATTTAAGGACAAAAAAAATACTTTAACAAATAACCTAAACCAGAAAAGTGTTTTACGTGGTTGTAAATGAGGAGAAAAAACACCATAACACATCTGCAAAGTTGTTACCTGTTTTTAATATTGCAATATCGACCTTTCAAGCTCAACATTGCTAGATGAACTTTTTTAAGAGGATAACATATTTGCCGTCATTACCAGCACTAAAATGATCCATGAATGTGGATTGTGATCATGAAGTTAACGGGACACTGTAGGCGCCGTTGAAGTGGTCTAGGTGCAAACTCACATCACCCTTAACCCTGAGCATGTAATTATTGCAATTTTTATAAACATGTGGGGGGGAGGAGGGGAGGGGTATACCTTTACAGAGGAGGAAGCTATAGTGCCAGGAAAACTAGTTTGTTTTCCTGGTACAATAGTCTCCTTTTAACTGTTACGCAATCACTGATGGAAGTCAGAAAATATTATCAATTGTTTTCCTAAGTTTGAAATGGACCCTTTAAGTTGTGTTTGTTTTTTTCTAAAACACCTCGACAGAAAATTCTCTTAATAGATCACTAGCATAATCTTTCTTTTGTGGATATGCTCCCTGAGTATAACTAAAAGTGGGAAAAAAAACTCACAAAGAAAGTGGAAAAGGGATTTTATTCAACAGCAAAAAGTAAACAGAAAAACATGAGGTAGATAGAACAAAATACTTGAAAATGTAAGTATATTTGTGGCACAAAAGGTACACAAAAAGTAAATATAATGTGAGGTAATGGTAGAGAATAAAAGTAAAATAAAGAAAGAAATGTATCTTTTGGATCTCATACTGGATTATACATCGAGCAAAAAGTAATTTATCCACCAGTATACTCCAGTATGTTTCTCTTCCTTGTGTATAAGGAATGAATATATCATATCGTCCAAAACAAATACTGTTATGACACTGGCAAGAAGTAGGGATAGGTCAAATTTCAGGGCATACATGCAGGATGCAATAACAGCTTGCAGTGCACGTTGATAAAGATATGCATCTTTTTAATCATTTCTGGAGTATAGCTGGATATCCTCTGCTAGTATGTTGCAGATTCCCAAAGCAGTGCATAGCCTCCTTATGAATCCCTGTGATTGGGGTATTTGCAAAGTTTCTGTATTTCAAAGAGTACACTGTTTTGTGTTGTTTTTTTATTTTTGTTTTTTCTCATCTTATTTAGCTTTTTATTCGCAATGTATACAACAGAGTTAAATATAAAACGTAAGGCGCAGGAAAGTAAGATGAAACTGGAAAATAGATGGGTGAAAACAGATAATTCAGAAAAGAGGAGGACAATGAAATGCTTTGTAGATCAGGCCGTGGATAGGTAGGAAGAAGAGCCGCGTTGTCACCGTCTGCTGGTCAGTCAGATGGTGTTAGTCCATTAAGAGGCAACTCACGTATATTGTTTGCCTAGAGATGCTGTTCAGTATTCAGGAGCTGCACAAATGGAAGAAGAGGGGGGTGAATTGGGGAGATTGAAGGGGTGGGGGGCAGAATGAGGCAGGAAGAAAGTGCTTCAGCCTGTAAATCATGAAATAGAGGTTTTCAAATGATATCTGCCAGTAACATAATCAGTAAAAGGCATGTCTGAATGCTGACAACCATTGCGTGTGAAAGAATCCCAGAAAAGCATAGAACTTTATTTGGAAACACAAAGAAGGGTAGACGAGATGGAAGTTGAAAGGATGAACCTGTTTTATTTAGAGAAATTCTGTTTCTACAAGTATGGCCTTTATGCCTACTATTACTCTATAACCTGTCTTAAAATTGTGTTTAGGCCCAGTTACTGTGCAATCAATCAAATTGTATCTCTGTCAACCAAGTTAAAATTCAGTATTCGAAAACCCTTCAATTTAGATATGTGTAAGAAGGAGTTTAGAATACTAGATTTCGTATCACTACCAATCAACCCTAAGCCCTCAATATAACTTAGCAGCGTTGCTTTCTGATGTGCTGTTGTGAAGATATCATTATTGCAATGCCACTTTATTAAATGGTGACATTTTAAATGTAAATGTATCTGTTTAAATCATGGTACTACTCGGGTATGCTTGATGTCACCTATACAGATAAGAGAAGAAGTGATCGATTGAGAGGCTGTCTGTAGAAATCAAAAGAGCAATAAGACCATGAATGTAAAACAGGCTAGCCAAGACACAAATCAATTAAATGACTTATACAAAATTAGTTTTATTTTTTAAATCTATTTTTTTATTCTTGAACAAAACATTTATTCTCTCCGATGAAGTTAAAGCAGTTATTAGTTGATGCTTCCACATCATCAAGTGACGAGTAATGGTTCTAAAACTGTTTGAGTACATTTGGGAGGGGGGCTCCAGGGCACTCCTGGCACCATAATCACTATAGTGCATTGTACACTCTTGTTGGGTGTGGATTTTAGAGCTATAGTGCATTGTACATCCTGTTGGGTGTGGATTTTAGAGCTCTCCTTTAGGTTAGGAAATTTAGTCTACTGACTTTAAATATACACATACATGTATAGACACATATACTAAAATCAAATTCACTTAATCAGTATTAGATTTGTATCCACAGGTATATGTCCTCCAAACATGTCTTCTATTCTTTTTTTTCTTTTTTTTTTCTTTCTTTTTTTTTTTGTGTGCATGAATTAACAATCTGGCTTACTACTCCACAATAGCTGTAGGAAGCCTTTCAACAATAGAACATAACATGGCATGAAAAATACTGTGTACAATTTACGGTGTAAGTCATTTCAGGTGTGAGATTTTGGCAAGACATAGTATAGGGTACAAGCTTTTCTAATCATCTATGACAGTAGTACGTGTTGAAGATCGTGCTGAAATCACATTCTAAACCGAGTATCATTTCTTAGGTTAGGTCCCTGGGTGTCTGATTAAGATGATCAAGAGACCCAGGCTGGTCATTTGTGATAGATAGCTAAGATGAGAGACAGAGCTGCAGAACCCCTATTAGCATGTTTCAAGGATATAGTTACGTCTCGTAAACCTAGTGGTCTAACCGGCCAGAGTATCCAGGCTACAAACATTGTCATCTTTGCACTGTACATTTAAGTGCTGTATGAATGTTTTGGTCGAACTTATATGTTGTTGTATAGTCTGTGTGCCTTGTTAACTTCGCGGAATCGTCCTCATGTTACTTTTTTCAGTAGTCTAGATACAGGTGCCCCTATCTTTTTTTTTTTTATTATAATTTCAGTTAGGATTGTTTCGTAGGTAGTGTACCCATGGGTCCCATATAGATGTGTATATGTGATATTGATGTGTTAGGGAGTAGCATGTCTCTTCTAGGCTTCTAGTGGTTTCAACCTTTTGTATCCATTCCCGTGTGGTGGGTGTTTGAGATTGTTTCCATAGGGCCAGGATAAGTTGGTTCGCTGCTGTGATGAGGTGGAATAGAAGTGTTTTTTCGTGTTTTTGCATGCTCGAGGGTGGGAGGAAAAATAGGTACGTGTCTGGGTGTAACGGAATGTTCTTCCGGAGAATCTGGTATATCACACCCGAGATTCGCGTCCAGTATTTGCAGATCTCTGGGCATGTCCACCATATATGTGTAGTTGTACTGTTGGTTTGCTGGCATCTCCAGCATCGATCTGCTGTTGTGGGGAAGAGATGGTGTAGCTTCGATGGTGTGTAGTGCCATCTGGCTATCCTTTTTTTTTTTTTTTAAACATTCTTTATTTGTTGTTTTCCGGTGTGGAAAAAGTAAACTTTAGGGTACAGAATTGAAGGAGGGTGGGGGTGGTACAGCCAAAATGGTACAGGTGCACAGTAATTTCCATACATGTGTCTTTGTGTCTCAAGGTGTTGTGAACAAGTAACTGTGTCGTGGTGTGGTCTGTTGGTTAGGCGTTTAACGTGCAGTAGTGTGGGGTTCAGGGAACTCTGTCTTGGTCTTTTTCCCTTTGCTCGGTTCGTTTGGTCAAACCTGTGTTGGTGGCCGTTTGAGGTTTGCGATTTGTCTCGTTAACGTTTTTTGTGGTAGGGTGGGTTGCCCTCTTTTTGACTGTTTTTATTGTCCTCGTTGCGTACTGATGGGCGCCCATGTGTCTGGGTGGTCGGTTGGGGGGGGGTTGAGGACCTATGTACAAGGGTGGGGGTACCATGGCGGGATTCAGTTTCGGGTGACTGGTAGTCATCCAGTGGTTTGGGTTGGGGTAGTGTTTTGTACTGTGAGTATCAGTGCATTGGTATTTTGATTGCTATGTCAGAATAGCGGGCCTAATTGGTGAGATGGAGGCTGTCCGTGTGCCCTTATTGTAGGTGGGGTTCAGATAGCCAGGGGTCCCAGATTCTGTGGAAGTGCTTGGAGGTCTCATGAATTATGGCTGATATCCTATCCATGAGTATTGCTTCCCTAGTTTTGCGTATGATTGTTTGCAGTGTGGGGGTGTTTGGCGTTCCCCATACTTCGGCTATTGCCCGTCTAGTCGCTAAGGCTATCCTGTTTGTCATTTTGTTTTGGGCTCTGGTCAGGTCCTCTCGTGGTCTGGAGAGGAGCCAAGTCCAGGGGTCTAATGGTATGGTGGTCTGGAGGAGTGTTGAGACTAGGGTAGCCACTTCTGCCCACAGTGGGGCCAATTTAGGGCAATGCCACCATGTGTGTATGTATGTGCCCCTCTGCCCACAGTTTTTCCAGCATAGGTCCACGTCTGCCTTGCCCATATGGTACAAACGTACCGGGGTTAGGTACCATCGGAGCAGTGTTTTGTACGCTTGCTCCTTATGGTTAAAGCATATGGATATGGAGGCCGTTGCCTCCCAGATATCCTGCCAGTCGGTGGGATCGCCCAGGGGCCCCAAGTCCCTCTCCCAAGCCGCCACATATGCCAATGCCCCCTTGGGTTGGTTGGTGATAAGGAGTGTGTAATTTTCCGTAATTTGACCTTTGTGAAGTGGGTTATGTAGGCATGTCCTCTCAAACCGTGTGAGTGTGGTGGTGGCAGCTTTGGCGTTGTCGGGTTGCTCTAGGAAGCTTCGCAGTTGTATGTAGCGAAAGAAATCGTGGGTGGTATATGTTGCCTGCGTGTTAGGAAGGTCATTGTATGGGGTTATTTGAGTTCCCGTGTAGAAGTGGTGCAGTCTGGACAGGTCGTTTTGTTCGTAGTGTGCAAAGTCTTTGGGTGTTAACCCTGGGGGGAATGCTCTATTGCGTAGTATTGGCGTCAGTGGTGTCGGGTTGTTTATGATGGGGAATTTCCTGGTAGTTTTGTCCCACATGTCTATTGAGTTGGTGATTGATGGGGGCAGTGGTGGTGGTAGGGGGCGTGATTTCTTTGGTACCCATATGTAGAGGGATGGAAGGTCGCGTCCAAATAGGTCATGTTCCAAGTCCGCCCATCGTTTGATCCCCTGTGGGGTGTGCCAGTGTTGGATCTGTGTGAGCTGTGCGGCGTAGTAGTAGTTTTGGAAATGGGGTAGTCCCAGTCCTCCCGTCCTATTGGGGATGTACATGGTGCTCCTTTTAATTCTGGGTCTTTTGTTTGCCCAGATAAAGTTATCAATTAGTTTTTGGACATATTTTGCGTCTGTTGTGGGGAGTGGGATGGGGAGGGTTTGGAATAAGTAGAGGAAGCGGGGTAGGAGGTTCATCTTTACTGATGCAATGCGGCCTAGCCATGATAGTGATAGGTCTTGCCATCTTTTGAGATCGTCGTTGCTTTCTGTATCATTGGGGTGTAGTTCAGGGCGTATGTGCGGTGTAGTGCTGCTGGTAGCTGTATACCTAGGTATGGGATGTGGGATGTGTTGTAGCGAAACCTATATGTTTCTAGTAGTGTCTCCTTCGTGTCTTGGTCGATATTTATGCTAAGTGCCTCTGTCTAATCCAGGTTTAGTTTATATCCTGAGGCTGCTGAGTATTCTTTCACCAATTGTAGGAGTGGTGGGAGGGAGGTGAGGGGTTCAGTTAGCATTAGGAGCAGGTCATCGGCGTACGCAGCCACCTTGTAGGTTTGGGAGCGTACTATAATGCCCGTGATAGTGGCGGTGGTGCGTATGAGGTGTGGAAGTGGTTCCAATGAGAGGGCAAAAAGGATCGGGGACAGTGGACAGCCCTGTCTCGTTCCATTGTGTATAGGGAAGTGGGGGTGTTGCGCGTTTGGGATGAGTAATTTTGCTTTTGGGATAGAGTAGATCGTTTTGAGGGCTGTCGTGAATGGTGTTGGGAATTGGAGTTTCTCTAAGGTGGCGAAGAGGAAGGGCCATAGTAGTCTGTCAAATGCCTTCTCGGCGTCAAGGGATAGTAGGAGGGTGGGGATGTTACGGTGATTGGCTACCCATATGAGGTCTAAGGTCCGTCTGGTGTTGTCGCTCGCTTGTCTTGTTGGGACGAATCCGACTTGGTCGGGGTGGATTGTCGATGGGATGTAGGGGAGCAGTCTGTTGGCGAGGATTTTGGTGAAGATTTTAATGTCTACGTTTAGTAGGGAGATGGGTCTGTAGTGACCTGGTTCCGTGTGCGGTTTGCCGGGCTTGGGTAGTAGGCAAATGTTTGCCTCCAGCATGTCCTCGGGCATCTGATCTCCAGTCATGAGCGAGTTATATAGCTTTATGTAGGGTAGCAGGTTGTCTGTGAATGTTTTGTAGTAGATGCCAGAGTATCCGTCCGGGCCTGGGCTTTTGTTGGGTTTCGTGGTGCCTATTACTCTCCTCACCTCCTCCTCTGTGATTTCTGTCGAGAGGTATGTTTGGGCTTCCATCGTGAGTGTCGGTAAGTGGGCCTTTGCTAGGAGGGTTTGTATATTGTCGTGTAGGGGGCCGTCATCTTGGCGGTGTTGAGGGGAGTGGTCGTATAGGTCAGTGAAATACTTCTGGAAGGTCTCGGCTATTTTACTGGGGATGTCGGTTGGTTGGCCTGTGGGGGTATGGATGGTGGTAATTTGCTTGGCTTGCTGGCGTTTGCGTAGCCTTCGGACCAGTAGTGTGTCTGCTTTGTTTGATTTTTCATAGAACATTTGTTTTGTCCATTGTAAAGCTTTAGTTGCATCTTTCGCCATGGCCTGTTTAAGGGCCTGGCGCTGGTGGTGCAGTTGCGTTGTGAGGTCTTGTGTGGGGGTTAGTTTGTTGTGCTTCGAGTTGTCTGATCTGGTCCAGTAGGGATGTTATGTGGGCTATGTGTTTCTTTTTCTGCGCCGTGGCTATGCTGATCAGGGATCCTCTGAGCACTGTTTTGTGGGCTGCCCAAAGTACCGCGTGTGATTGCACCGAGTCTTTGTTGGTGTCGAAGTATTGGGTGAGTTCTGTCTTCAGTTGGGCAACTATTTGGTGGTCGTGGAGTAGTATGGGGTTGAGCCTCCAGGTCCAAGGTCTTGAGATTTGTGGTGGTTGGAGTTGTAGTGTGATGTCTGCGTGGTCTGACCAAGTGATGTTGCCTATTGCGGAGTTTGTGACGTAGGGGATTAGGGATGGTGAGATGAGAAAGAGGTCAATGCGGGAGTAGGTGTGGTGGGGGTGCGAGTAGAACGCGTAGTCGCGGTCTGTTGGGTGTTGAGATCTCCATATGTCTATGAGGCCCGTTTGGGTTATGAAGTCGGCCAACATTTTGTCCGCACTGGAGGGATGGATGAGTTGCTGGGTGTGGGGGGAGTAGCGTTGTCTGTCTATGGATGGGGAGATTGTGGCGTTGAAGTCCCCCACTATTATTCTTTGGTGGCTAGGATGTTGGCTGAGGTGAGCTTGTATTGTCTGCCAAAATTGTGGGTCTGTAGTCGTCGGTGCATATATGGAGGTCAGAGCTATTTTTGTGGGCCCAATTGTGCCTGTTGCTGTTATATATCGCCCTTGTGGGTCTTTGTGGACGTCTTTAAGGTGTATAGGGCAGTTTTTTTTCAGTAAGATTGCCACCCCGTTATGTTTGCCTGTATGTGAGTTGGCGAGGTGACAGGTTTGGTAGTGACGGCTTAGGAGAGGGAACGGGCGTGAGTGAGCGTAGTGTGTTTCTTGGAGGAAGACCACGTCTGCCCCTGACCTGTTGGCCCAGCGCATGACCTGGTGGCGTTTCGAGGGGTGGTTGAGCCCCTTGCAGTTAATGGATATGCATGTTACCTTAGCTGGCATTGTGGTGTGAGGGGTACTGCGGTGTCGATTGTGCCTTGGTCCTGCCCCTTGTGTTGTTGGTGGAGGCTTGGGGTTTTTGCGTCAGGTATCTTCCCGATTTGGATGTGGTTCTAAGGTCTTGTGTCCCGCCATCGTACTCTTCGGGGGTAAACTGTGGGTACAAAGAAAAATAACAGTGAACATATTTACAACTTCCTGGACTTATTGTCTGTGCCAGGTTCGAGTCTAACGGCGTGTTGGGTATGTCCCTTATTTGGGACCCCGGTGCCCTGGTGTTAACTTGGGGCGTGGTGGGGGTAAGTCCTGAGATGCGTCCCGATCCAGGTGTGTGAGAATTTCCACTGGGAAATTGTAAGTTGGGGGTGGGGGGTGGTGTCCTTGGGTCAGCTGGTTACAGTTCTGTCTGGGGGGATTGGTGGCTCCCGTGGGTTGGGGGGCCCTTCTGGGGGAGGGGTGTCTGTATGGTCCCTCGGGCTGGGGTTCCTGATGTCAATGTCGGGGTCAGGGCAGTCCCGGCTGTCCTGTGTCCCTGGTGTTTTATCATTGGATGCCCTCCCACCCGTCTTCCCCAAGTTGTTCCGGTGG